TTTTTATTAAAATTTTTGTTGGATTTTGACGATTCTGGTGCATTTTTCAACGGTTGAAATATGGGTTAAAATAAAAATTCCAACGGAAATTGTATATTGCAACGGAATCATACGGTAAAAAAAAAACCGTTGGAATAATAGTCGTTGGAACGATCAACTTCCATCTAAATTCCGACGGAAAACTCATTACAAAGAATAATTCCATTGAAATTTTCGATGAAATCATTCCGACGAAGCTATACCATTAGAATATCCGTTTGAATTTCCATTGAAATATATATTACCATAGTATTTTCTATTGGAATTTGACATTTTTTTGTAGTGATTGAATATTTGCTTAGTGATGTAAATTTATGAAAGCAGAAAATATCTGTGTAATAGTCATCTTATTTAAATCAAATGAATAAAATTAATCATTTTTATAACTGTAAATTTAATTCAGTCAAACACAATTTAAACTAAATATGAAAATTTCAACTATCCCCTTAATTATTGAATTTGACAAAATAAACTTCCAACTTATATTTTTTGTATGACAATGCATATCACATCTTTCACTCAATCAATCATTCTTACACATTACATAGTAGAAATTATTTCCCTTCCCTTCACATCTTTCACTCAATCAATCATTCTTACACATTACATAGTAGAAATTATTTCCCTTCCCTCCCTCCCTCACTATAGTGCCAAATTATTTCCCTTCCCTCCCTCCCTCCCTTTATAAATTAAAATATATTTACATGGTAGAAATTGTTTCCCTTCCCTCCCTCCCTATATAGCCTATATATATGTAATTTTTTGTGATTATGCAATCATTCATAATTATATATATTAGTACAACGCCCGTGTATTACACGGGTGCTTGCTAGATTTTCTTTTTAAAATTTAAATTAATGAGAAAAAATAGTTGAAAATTTAAATACCTTTTATAAAAAAAATATATATTATTATATATTTTAGTATGACACTTGTTACTTGTGCGACTTACCTGTGTTGTATTATAATATTTTTTTAACTTATAACATATAACTACATTAAACATAGATATATTAATTGAGAAATAATTTTACTTTTTTCTAATTATTTTTAATAAATTTTTTATTGTAAAAAGAAATATAGTTATATATATAATATGGATGTCAAATCGAAGCTCGTCAAAAGATGATTAATTTGATATATTATATATGTAAAACCGATAAGAATACAAAAGTTATCAACGTTTAAAATACATTTACAATTCAATAGTTATAATAAAAAATGATATTAAGATACAATTAGTACATGTAAAATGTTCATAAATAAATCAACATATTTATGTTAATCCGAACCTAATTATTTTTGGATTGAAATTAAATTAAAATCTATCAAAGTCAAACAATAAAACATGAAACTTTGACACATATGATCCCAAAGAATGCGAGTGTTCCACTCAATATATGTATACATATATAGGTATATAAATTTAGAATGTCCCTATCCTAATTTTGTGTTAATTTTTTATGCTTATTATAATCCATATTTATGTAGATTTTATACCTAAAAATTTTAAAATTAGGACAATTTTTTTTATACTTCAAAATATACATGCACTTTCTTTTACACACTGTCTAATAAAAAAAAAATCTTTTTCACACTACAACTCATGAAGTATATGCAATATAAAAATCGCCCGTCCAAATGAACCGCGTAAATAATAATTTTGCGAGATTTTTTCATATATATACTAACGCATATTCAAATCAGACACATAGTTAACAATACGAACACATTCTTATATTTATTAATCGTACATCGAAATCCACCACATAATTTTGTTATGTGAATTTATTTCATATATATAGTTATCAGAATCCAAATTGATAGCAATATATTTTATGATTATGCGATAAATTTTCATTTATTTTACATCTATAATATCCGAATCTGACGCATAATTAACAAGTATGCAGTCGCATATCCAAATCGGAGGTGTCCGTGGGCCCACAAGATGACGTGCTTACACTTTCCTTCCCTTGTTGACTGTCATCCTGAGACGACTTCGACAGAGGAAACCTGGTTGATTACACATGGTCGCGACAACGATCTCTTGATGGAATTACTCGTTAATATAAGGCACTTGGAGACTCTTTTGGGGTATAAGTTCCAGGACGTTTCTCCTGGAAGAGGCACTAAAATTAGAGATGTTAAACAGTCCTTGGCCCGACGGACCGACCCGTTTAGCCCGAAAAAAAAGGGTTAGGGCTTTTTATTGGTAGCCCGTTTAAATCAGGATTTTTTTGGCCCGGACCGTTTAAACTGAAGCCCGTTAGGGTTAGCCCGAAACCCGCTAAGGCTGGCCCTTTTAACTTGTTTTGGGCATTGTAAATGTTTGCAGCAAGTAAGTAATATGCTCTTAGATTCATTGTATATTACAATTTTGCTATTCCACTTCACATGTAAGCATGAGTTGTAACGGATTATAATGATTTTGAAAGATAATTATTAACAATATTCTTATTGTACTCCACATTAAAATATTTAAGTCAATCAGAACAACTAATAAGAAACACATGGGACAAAGACCTAACACATGAAACATAGTGATATAATTTATAATGATATAATATCGTAAAAATTTTCAAAGCGTACAGAATAAGTAGTAAAATGATAATTGTAAGTAACAATTCGAATATTTTTTTCTTTTTGAAAAAAAAATGTTATATGATGTGTAGTTGTATATATATAGAGCGGTAAATACGAAATTATGTTGAAAACAATCGTTAATTAATCTTTGTAATTTTTATATTTTTTTTTTTATTTTTGATATTTTTTGATACATTATTATTATTATTATTATTATTATTATTATTATTTTTTTTTTTATTATTATTATTATTT